AGTTTGCTTTCCCCTCAATTAGACCAAAACATGTTGATTCACAGGTTTGTGTGTGTGTTTGTTTCTTTTTTAAACTTATTTATAGAGCAGAATAATGGCCCCCCTGCTAACTTGGCATTTGCTCAAGTTTCTGTCCATGTAAATTGAATCTGTTACTGGAATTTTCCCCCCCTCAGAATACCAAGGCACATTAACCAAGAGATAAAAAGATACATTACCGATATTATCAAGCACAGGGCAGGTGGATTATGTGTGGGTTTTTCCTTCTTGCTTTTGGACAAATATGTGATAAAGGTTCTCAGAGGGCACTGAGAGCAAAGGGCTGTTTAAACAAAAGTGAATCATTCTCATCGTGTTCTGATGACAACTTTACTTTTTATTCAAACAGCACCTGCTTAGCACTCTTTAATATTATTTAGAAAGCAAAAAAAAATTAAAAGCAGGATGGTAAACAAACAGAAAGCACTTCAAATAATATTAAGATAGCAACAATTCTCATCTATGAGGTTTCCAATATTTTCTTAAAATATGGTAGTGTTCTTCGCCAAAAAAAAGAATATTACTCTTAATGGTGTTGAATTTAGGGTGAATGATTTATAAATCATCATTTCTCTTGTGGTTTAGAGAAACAAAATCTGACTTATCATGGGTGGCCAGCAAAGATATGGTTTGGCTATTTATCAAAGTATAACACACACACTATTTTTAAGTATCTGCAGAAAACTCTTATCACATTATATGTTTCAATATGAACTTTCTTTTTAATAGAGCAGATCTATCCAGGGTGCTAAAGTACCTTATGCTTTTACCAATGTTAGTACTACTTTTACTCTACAACTCAAAACTTGAAAGTTCCCTTCTTGCTACACAAATAATTACAACAAAGCTCTCCCTCAATCTACAGCTCCTGTCAAAAGTTAGGCAAAGAGTGCCAGCCAGTTCAAGAGCAGAAATCCATTAATGGTACAATGCCACCTGCTGTCAATTCTGAGAAATGTAACGTCTGTTTAAGATTTTATCCCTGATGAAAGAGGCTTCTAATTTATTAAACATACAAGACTGTGTGGCGGTTCGACATAACTGTGTTTACGCAGTCATAAGGATATGCTAGGCAGCTTTTTAAAACTTTATTTTTTCCCCATTTCTTTGATACTTGACCATTTGTAAGGAGCACTTTTGTTTTATAATATAAATGATATGAGAAGAATACATACCTAGTCATATTTCTTCTCTGCTCGATGGTTTATGGAGAGCCTAGCGACTCCTTATCTTTCAGAATCTGAAGGCTATAATGACTATTTCTATTATAGTCTTAAAACACGTCTACTCTAAAATGGCATAGTGATAGACAACTTATTAATGGACACCCTAACTCCACCCAACCCCCCTGAAAATTAAGCTTAGAAAAGGACCCCATTTTGAAATATAGACAATCAAATACAGATATATATAAGAAGCTGTTTCAAGTAGTACACTTAAGCCAATTTTCCTTTCAATAATTATGCAATCAATTTATTCTTTTTAAAACTCTCCTTCATCCTCTGTCCCCACAGCTGTGAAAGTCCAACACAATAAATCCAAGAAATTAAAAATCAAAACTGTACACTGAAAATAAATCCACTAAACAGATTTCTTCTGCAGAGCTCTTTCATTTCTAGTTATTTTTGCTGTTACTTGTAAACAGTAGTAATAAAAAAAATAACTTTTATGCTAGCAAGATTTTAAATTTGTGACATCCTGCTACCAATAGCTGCCTTTTGTTGCTCTGAAACCTACTCCAAAAATCGATGCAAATATAGTACTGCACCCAACTGTATTCTTTATTGCATTTGACGGCAGGTGCCAGGGATTATTTTAGATATGCTCTGTTCACACATTTTCTATAGCATCTTCTACTGCCACTGTCAAAGACAAGATAGACTGGCCATTGGTCTGATCCAGGGTGGCACTGTTTATGTTTTTATTCATAACAGCTGGCTCTAGAAAGCCATGTTTGTATACAGTCACTCTCTTCATATTGCAAAAAAAAATAATTAAACATCCCAATAATAGGGCTGGCCAAAATGTAGGAAGCCTGTTTCATGAACAATTTCAAAACTTCTAGTTTGTCCCAAGATGGGAGGAAAATGTAAAATTCCAAAATTATTCCAACCCAATTCTTGTAGCAGGGAAGGAGTAGGGGGAAGGTTAAGTGTCCCTAGAGCAGGGGCGGGCAATTGTTTTGGGTGGAGGGCTGCTTACTGAGTTTTGGAAAGCCATCGAGGGCCACATGACAGGCAGCCAGGAACAGATAAATATTAATTTTCTAAATTTTTTAGGGGCCCCGCAGGTCAGATAGAATGACCTGGCAGGCCTTATCTGGCCCGTGGGCTGCATTTTGCCCACCCCTGCCCTAGAGAGAGCAAAATAACAGAGTGCAGGAAAAATTAGATCTAAGCCAGGACCATTCAAAATAAAGTGAATTAAAATATCAGGTATTATTGCAGTTGTTCTAGGAATTGTTTTATGAAAAGAATTGTCAAATTCAACACAATATTGTGGTTATTTCTTTTTTGTGCAAAAATAATGTTTGGCAGCTCCTATACTTTGGAAGAGTCTCTCACAGCAAACTGAGTGAAACCCAACCTGTATTTAAAAAAATAAGCCACACAAAGAACAGGGTGAGGGAGATGCTATTATACTGATATGGGAACTTGAGTTCAGGAACACTCCTACAGTACTGAATAGAATGCTAATCACTCAAGTACCATTTACTTCCCCATATCTTGGGAGTGTTCCCCAACTTGTAGGAAGCCCACTAAAATTAACTGCCTGAAGTTGAGGAAGTGGTATAGAACAGAATTAAAAAGCAGGAGCCCTAAAGAACCAGACTGGACTGAGTAGCACGGGTTATTACTAGCACAAGTATGAAACTGTTACTTGATATAAGCTGCCAGTGCACTCAAAGCAACATTGTATTAATTTACTGCAAGCATTTATATAAATATGCAAAGTTAAATGCTGAAAGCAACATTTATACCAGGTTAAACTGCACAAGTATGAAAAAATGAGAGTATGCTGATAAAAATCCTTTTCCTGTACTGCAGACAGGCTGACCTCAGTCACCTTGCATGTGCAAGCCCCAACCTGGTAAGTGGAAGTGTGCAGATGCACGCTTACACCCATGAAAGCATTGCAATAAGCTCTAGGAGACTCCAGCAATCATGGTGGCTTGTCCACATCAACTGAATTGCAGGACTGGCAACTTAATCTAAACAACTCCAGCAGACTTACATATATGCAGTGAGGCTGATGTGTGAACGGTGCAGGAAACCTTAACCCTGAATTCTATGTGTTTTAAATCTATTTCAACTCTGCTCTGACCGTGGGGCAGTGGTGCAGGACTTGCTTGTTTGGAACTTAATGGGGCAGAAAGGTCTCCTGTCTATATCATAATTTGCATGGCTTTGAAGTCCAGACCTCACTACAGTGACGAGGTGGGAAAAAGGCTCATGTTTCCATCTTTGCTATCACTACTCTTTGGCTGCAGAAAGCTTCCCAACAAAGCTAAGTTAACAAGACAGCAACACATCTATTTGCATTATGAAAGATGTACTCTGGCAACAAAGACTTTTCTCCTCCTCTTCAAAAGCAGTAACAATTACTGGAAATCTGAAGTGAAGGGACTTATAGGCAGTCATGTTCCTGGAGTTAATGCAGTGCAATATTTAGTTTGTTTTTAAACATAAAAGTATTTAACTGTGTTTCTCTGAGACATTTATAATCTCCCTCATGCAAACTGACCCAGCAGCAGCCTACATGCCAGTCAGGCTCAGCAGAGAGAATGTGCAATTTCACAATGGGGGTCAAAATTCAAGTCTAAGCAGCTGCTAATTGATCATATTCTGCCACCTTTATTTCTAACTAGTCACTCCTTACCATATTTCCTTTTAATGGGACTAACTCCTAGAATAACTACTCAGTGCTAAGTTTAGTTCAAAATACTTTTTTTTTTTTTTTTTTTTTTTTAAACGGGCTCATAAAATTATTCTTCAACCAACCTTTGTCAAACTCGGTCAGAGACTAAACACATGGCTTGGTTATACAATACCTAGAGGCCACGTTTCAAAGTTCCATCGATCCAGGAATTCAGCCGGAAAAGAATTATGGCAGTTTAAATTTTAAAGTGAGAAAGATTTCACTTTTCTCAGACAACTGAACTACTTGAATGGATTTTGCTCAAACATCTTGAAACAGTCCTCTCTGAACTTTTGCAAGTTGAAACAGAACCCACGCATGAAAAATCCTAGCCCCAGAGTTTGTTTTTTTTAACTAAATATAAAATTTTGAAAACAAGACGTTATAAGTGGAAACTCTTTAGTCACCCCTTTCCAGGCAGTCACTATCATCTGACAACTATAACATCACAAAATTAAAATGAGGATTTTTCAGTTTCAAGCATATTTGTCACCATAAAAATTCCTGAGATACCTATCTGGCAACCTTGCGATTAATAGCAATAGTTCTAAGAAAAGAAATCACTACACTACTTCAAAGTCCATTTAGTTCATCATATTCCATTATGTTTCTTACAGTTTCAGATCTAAAGGAAGTCAATGTTTATTTTTCTATTATTCTTGCATAGTTATGAAGCCTGCCGTTTAAAAGCTCGTTGTGACACTTGATCAATCTGAACTGCCCTCTTTTCTTTCAGTGTTCTAGTCAATGCTCACTGAAACAGCAAATAGCTAAGTTAAACAAACTGTTTCTTAAAGTGTCTTAGAAACTACAATTTCAGTACAACAACATTTGGTACAGGTTCTATAATATATCAGACTACAATACAGCTCAAGAATGATACCATTACCTGCTCTTTCAGATTCTAAGACAGTCAGAAAAAGTCCTATCAGATACTGCATGAACTTCAGCTCCCAATGAGAAGTATGTTATATAGGCTCCATGAGAAAATGAAGGCTGCTAATCTATTTTCCAAGTGAAACATTTTAGGTGATTGCTCTAACCTGGGGCACAGTACATTCTCTCTATGGCATCGTTGTCACAGGAATCTTCAACCTCACTCCACCTGCTAAAATACGTTAGCTGAATGTGTCCTAAAAACAAAACGACAGGAGAAATCAAAACATTTTTCCCTTCCATTTTCTGCAGAAGTGAACTGTAATTACTCCTTTTGTAGCTAAAAACAGTATCATTAAGAATAATGGCATCATTAAGTACTAGAAGCTATTACTGGGGGTGAATTTGCTGCACTGATAATGAAGCTCTAGACAGGAAATGAAGATACTAATTACAAGATAAAACGCCTACTCAGTTAATTGGAAGCAACAGCGAATAAAAAGAAATGCATTTGCAAAAGTTCCTGACCTCTATCATTCAATAAGATGTTGTTTGGGTTCAAATCGCGGCACACAATTCCTTGTCTATGCAAAGCATCAAGGGCTACAACCATTTCAGCTGCCCATCTTTGAATGCAGTCCTCTGGGATGTGAAACCTGGAGGTTAGTGCCAGTCTGTTGTCAAGGTCCCGAAAAATTTGATGTATTTCCATCTCTCCTTCTGTTGCTCTTTCACTCTTGTCCTTTGACGCTGTTTCTTCACTTTCAACCTTTGGTAATAAAACAGGGTTTGCGTCCTCGTTCCCAAAATCTTCAGTTTGATCAGAAAACAGTAACACTGCTTCACCTTCTACAGCATCTCCATCTATGCTATGCTCTTTAGCACCTGAGAGTGGGTTAGAAATGAATAGGAAACTTTCCTCTGTGTTCGCTGTGTTTAACGATGTGAAAGAATTTGCTCCAAGTCCTTGAAACTGAGCCACATCTTCTGAGCTCCCTAGATCAAAATCAGATCTAAATAGTGTCTTAATAACTTCCTGAGTGACAACACAGTGCCCTTCTGACTCTTTCCTAGAAGAGTGGCCTAGTTCAGGCACCTCATGATTTAACTTTTGATCAAATGTTTTGCATTGTTCTGTTGTATTATTCAATTGTAAGACATCAGGGGTTTCTAACAGTTTGCTTTCTAAAATATCTATATCAGTCTTTGTAAACTTTGTTGGCCTAACTTCTGCTGCTGCTTCTGTTTGCTCTGACATACCAGGCAGATTTATTAGCAGATCCGGCCTTCCTTCATCAACACTACTAACATCGTCCACAGCAGCATCCTTAAAAGAAATAACCGGCACAGAGTCATTTGAACCCCTGCTTATGGTGTCATGAGCTCTAAAGCCCACTCTGCTTTCTATGGCATCAAGACTTCTGTCACGATCTGGTGCAGAAAAAAATGGCTTTAAAGGTTCTGATTTTAAGCTAAATAATTTATCTCCAAAATCAAGCCCCAGTAGTTCACTGGTGCTATCTTTACTGTCTATTCTGAAGAGTTCCATGGGGCTGTTCTTTGATCTATTTAATGAATCTGATATCCTAGTAGGACTAATGATTTCTGGGTCAGCATCTTCTGTGAAAATCTTTACTTCCTGAGACATGACCTGAGAGCTGAAGCTATCATTGCCAACTACAGTATTTGCCTGTAAGCATTCTAAGTCTTTGGTATTAAGACCTCCTCCCTCTATTTTCAGCACAGGTTCCTCATTTAAAGAGCTAGGATCAATTTTTTCTTGTCCATACTCATTGCACAATGTTAAATAGCTACTAGTGCATTCTTCTTCTGAACTTGACCCAGAATCCATCCATTTGGGAGAACTTTCTTGGCCATCTTCCTGATTACTACTATCATCTTGAGAACTTGGGGTAAGACTGCTCTTCAGTGGTATAACTTTTAGCATGTTCTCCCCATCACTTGCTCCAGAGCAAACACTGCTACTGATTTCCTTAGGGCTTGGAGACGGCTGTTGCAGGTAAATCTTAGTAGAACTGGATCTTTTGAGCTCAGGGATTTCAAAACTTTCTTCAGGGCTTCTGTTTAAGAACTTACTGATGTAAGACCACAGTTTGCCTCCTATGAAAAAGAAAGAACATCTCAGAATGTAAATCAGAACAGACTCTGCTTCATTATGAAATATAAAATACATAACTCAGGAAACTACTTCCTGATGCAAATCATAGCAGGTTGGATGTGCTAGTTCAACAGGGAATATGGCTTCAAATAAATGTATTAATGCATTTATGAGTGGGACCCTCTTAGATTAAAATAGAAAGAATATTTAAAAACCTATTTGATGACATGCCCCAAGTTGCCTTCATGTCATGAGATAGCAACACCAGAGAAAGTAAAATAGATTCCTATCCCATCACCATTCTGCTTGTCCTGAGATGTTTCTGGAGAACAGCTCCAAGCTTCCTACCTGAAAGTAACATCAGGGGAAGGAAGAATCATTACCCAGTTCTTCAGCCTTTGCTTCTTTACAATTGTGTGCATGCAAGTGGTAAGTGCTCCATGTTCATAGGATAAATATATATTTTCTTGCTTCTGGAAGGTATCTTACCTGCCCATTCTATTAGTCTTTCTACTCCCACCCACCCCCACTTTTTTTTTTTGGTTTCTTCTTTCACCTCTTGCTGTATTATGTAGCATTTATCAGTGCTCCTTACATGCTCATTGTAAACAGAGATCAGCATCTCTCTCTCAAAGGAAAGAACTGCCTGCCCCATTTCTGGCTCAGTTCACTCATTCTGGAGATTCATAACAATCTATAGCTCTAAGTGAAGCCGTTGCTTTGGCTTCATTTAAAACTGTGAAAATAATAAAACTGGATTGTTAGTCTTCAAAAACCTGAACATAAAAACTGCCATTAACAAGATCAGACCATAGATCCATCTTGTCCAGTATCCTGTGTCACACAGTGGCAAAGAGTGGATGCTGAAAGAGTGAACTCGGTATGACCAGAGAGGTTCCCCCCACCCCACACACTGGTCCTCTCTCACTTGCAGCCTCCAGCATTTAAGGTCTATGAATTCCAATTTAGAGGGTGTATCCCTAGCTCCCATGCTCAATAGCTACTAATGCCCTTTCCTCCAAGCACTTGTCCAATCCCTTTTTGAATCTGCCATTAAACTGTCATCTTCCACAACATCTGGTGGCAATGAGTTCCACACGTTGATTGTATGCTGTGTAAAAAGGAACTTCCTTTTGTTAGTTTTAAAACCTACTACCTTACTACTAGTTTCATTCTGTGACCCCTAGTTCTTATATTGTGAGAGATAATAAATAATACAACCCCTACTTACTTTCTCTTTACTATTTCATATTTTCTAAACCCTTATGATGTCCCCTCCCTCAAATGTTGCTTTTCTGAACAGAACAGGCCTAACCTTTTCACTCTCTCTCTCACATTTCTTGTGAAGAATTATAACTCATGAGTACAAAGTACAGAGTTGCACAAAAATTAAGCTGGAAAATATCTGATATCTTGGCTTGCTTGGGCCAAGGAACTGTAGGTTCAAGAAGTCCTCATTTAAAAGAAGAGAAATTCCTGAAAGCATAGGTGACTCAATGGGATCTTTGTTAGAAGGAAAATTTATACCACCCATCAGTTTATAGTGACCTGTATCATTGGGTTCCAGAATATTAAAATTAATAGTTTTGTTTTGTTTTTACTTTTTTTTTTTTTTAGAAGGAAGCTCTATTTCTTGAAAAGTTACACTGAAAGAAACAGTTACTTTTCCCCGTGTGGAACCAGGTTTCCAGGTGCTAAAAAAAAGAAGAATTTATTAAATGCATTAATTAGAAAGTAAAAATAAAAAACAAGGCTTAGAGAAGAGGTGTCAAACATCTGTCTTCCTAGACTAGATAGGCCCATGGAGCTCCTAGGAGGACCAGGAATTCAGAGGCAGGGCTTGCCACCCAATTCCAGGTGACAAATCCCTATTGGGGGTGCATTTTGGTGGTCACAGCGGGGCATGCAAAGCCTCTGCTAATACCCCACCCCCAACTCCCTCAAGCTGTTCACACTACTGCCAGAGGCATCTCCGAATCCAGCCTCCAAGGAGATCCACTGTCCAGATCTGGGCCAAGGAATCAAACAAGCTTGATATGCCTGTTGTTGGAGGAACCTTCCTCCTTTTCCCCCCGGCTGGGATAGGAGTTGTTTTGAATAGGAAAACATTCTTTTCACTAGCTATGATAAAAAAAGTGCATCAAAGAGTATTAGAGCATTTTAGTGGGTTGAATCTACGGTAAGAATGACAACCTGGATCTTTAATGTGCATGCTTTCAACCAACAAGTTTGAAATGAACTGGTAACAACCCATCCTTCCAATATAGCTATATATGAAAGAGGCTTACCAATTCAACAGGAAAAAAAATAGGAGAGATCCTGATATAAAAAAGGTGAAGAATCACTTTATCAACCAATTCATTAAAACATAATAAAGAGTTACTGGTTTTAAGATATATTCACAATATTCATTAATGTCTTTGTCTTTATAGAAGTCAGATCAATGTTAACTGATTTTTTTTTTATTAAAAACACAGATTTACAGCTGGTCAAACTGGGGACAGTTGAAGTTGGTGAAAAGTTTGAGATGTGTTAATTCTCTTGTATATATTTTTACACAAAATAATTAAAAATTATTTTTTCTTTTAAATTACAAGTAGTCTAGGGTGGACAGGAGGAGGAAATAAGTAGAAGTCATAAGCAAGAGAAAGTGTGGGGGAGCAACCACATTCCTTCGTGCCTCCTCCCCAATTTTTCCCAGTGAAGAGATGAACAACAGATAAAGAGTGAAAGTGAAAAAACTAAAAGTAATAGAACGGAAGTGGGATTCTTATCTCAACATTTTGAATGAAAAAGTAAATAAATGACCAGCTCTTTTATAATATATGTAAATATTCAGGGTTCTCTTATACTAATAACACCACACATACCAATCCTCCCTGATCTATGTCATTATAAATATATAGGTGGGGGGTTGGGGAAGGAGTATCAAACACTTTTATTTTATGTAACTTTTAAGTGGCCACATATCACACATCTGTTTTTAAGAAAATTCCCCTTCTAAGGTTTCAGATGGTTTCCCCAATAGTATTTACAAAGACTGGAACTGGTCTGTAAGTCCAGCTCTTACACAATGGGCCACTACCTGCAGACATCACTGTAATAAAAATATTAGTACTGCTTAGCCTTCACTACATACTGGAAGGGAAAAAAATCTAGAAAAAGAAGAGCCAGGATTGCTTGGCCAATAAGAAGAGTGAAGAAGTTCCTACCCCCATGGCTTCCCCTCCTAGAGAAACTGGCCGGCTGTCTTCACAACTCTCTTCCTCCTCTGCCCCTACTTCCTGAAGCTTCTTGAAGCCAGTTGTACATACCCAGATTGCAGCTTGAAGCCATCTTCAGCTATACAGGAAGAAGACTCAGAAGGGAGGAGGATGAGCAATGTGTTGATATGATCTCCATGCCCCAAAGAAATCTCTCTGCACTAGTTAACACAATTTAGGCTATATTATGTTCTGAACACAATTTCTCGCACATATGTGAATGATGAACTGCAAAGGAGTTTCCATACAAGTGTAGCTGTCTTCCTACAGTGAAGAGGTGCTGGAATTAGAGCTGAACTTCTACATGCCATCCTAAAACCCAATAAACCACCAGAGGATCTAAAAAGCTACTGACCTATCTCACTACTCTGTATTACATACAAACTCAAGGAGCACATAATCCTGAATAAAATAGAGAACATAATTGATCCCCAGCTCCCAAAAGAACAAGCTGGCTTTTGGAAAAAGTGGTGTATTACTGACCAAGTTATAATACTTACATCCAACACAAAAACCAGATTTGAAATGAGGCAGAAAACAGGCATGGTCTTCATCAATCTTATAGCCACCTATCACACTGTATGGTATCAAGGCCTCAAATATAAACTGCACTCCATGATACCCAACTACAAACTATGTGCTTTCATCCCAAACATGATCTCTAGCAGATCATTCAAACTCACTACCAGCCAAAAAGAAAAGGGGAGAATACGAACCCAGAAAAATGGAAGAATGGAGTCCCCCAAGGGTTATTGCTAGCATCAATAAATAAAGTTGTGCATCAATAAACCAGTATCATTACTCTTCCACCTGGACAATCATCAAGCCAAGAGCACAGTGAACATCAGTGTAGGCAACTACATCCTTCCCAATGAGCGTAACCCAACCTACCTGGGAGTCGCATTAAACCGTTCCCTCACCTATGAACACCACATTCGGAAAGACATTACACATAACTTTTTAAGTGATCAGAAACTGGTTTACACCTGTAACAGAACAGACATTCAGTGCACATAAACCAGACTGAAAATGGGTGAAACTGGTCTGAGATAAACCTGGTTCAATGTAGTATCAGACTTAACTGATCTGGGTCAAACTAGTTTATACGATGTCTGTCCCAGACCAAAGTCCCCCAAACATCCTAGATGCTTTGCAGCCCTGGGCAGGGCTCTCTGCTCCATAGCAGGGCTGGCCTCTCCTCTCTGCTCCCTGGCTGGTGCTCCAGCAGAGACCTGAAGAAACAGCAGGGTCTGCCTTGCTTCCCCCTAACCCATCCCCCTCAACACTCGCTGCTCAAGCAGGGATCCCTCCCTCCCCCCTCCCACAGCACAGACAGTACCCAGCCTGTGGTGAGCTAGCTAACAGGGGTGTGCAAAACGGGCCATATTCAATTCGTATTCAGCTCAAATCAGGGACAGTGATTCATTGATTTGGATCACTGTCCCCGATTAGATTCGGCCAAATCCAAATCTGAAGATTCGATGCTGATTCGGAGAATCACTGATTCGGTCACAGACACAGCTTTAAATATTTTTTCTACATACCTCGAGGTACTAGGCAGCTTGTGAATGCTGCGATTCTGGGGAGGATGGAGCGTCCCACAGGACCATGGGAGGGCCCCCCTGCATGCTCACTGGTGAAGTCAAAAGTGGACCGGAAGTATTTCCGGTTCACTTCCAGGTCCTCTGGGGGGCCTCCCCACCTTGGCGATCAGCTGCAGGGGGACCCCGGGTGCCCCC